AACCCGAAGCGGTTCGGTGGCAGGGGATCCGCGCTCGCAGGGGTCGTGGAGTGCGAAATCCCGTTAAATATCCTGGTGGTATATACATTTAAAGAAGAGGAATGCTTAGGAGCAGTGAAACAAACAACCCGCGCGGCGCTTTGTGTCCCCCGTGAGTACCACGGGGATGCGCTCGCCCCGTGTCCCAGAGCGAGTGCTGGGCTGTCCCGTTTGTCCCGGTGTGCAGAGGGAGCGAAAGGCACGTGTTTGGTTCTCCCTGCAGCGGCTCAGGGCTCTGTACTGCCGGAGTTAGGGACAGCCAGCTCTGGGCTGGTAAAGTTGTGACAGGTAAATTATTGGGGAGGGATTGGTTGTTTCCCTGAATGGCTTTCTGTCTTCAAAAATACATGTTCAATCCCCTAAAATTTATACTTGAAATACTTACGAAGACTTATCTATATTCTAGAAATTTTAATGCTGTTTTTAGTAAACGCTCTGTTGAATTTTGATCAAGAAGAGGGGATTTATTGCTCTAAAGGGGCAATAATGCTGTATTATAAGCTGTAATAAGGCCTGTAATTCCTCAAGTTTGTTTCATGGAAGTTTTGTACAAAAACAACCCTCCCCAAATTATAGCAAATCTTCAGACACAAGAGTATGCAGAGTTCTATAATGCCTTATGATTTACCACTGGGAACACCTTGGTTTGGGTTAAGTCTTGGTGAGCACTGGTAGAGCTTGTGTTTGAACACTTCAGTCTTTTTGCTGAAGCCTGTTGCACAGCCTTGGGTTTTCTTCAGTTCTGCCCCCTTGCTGATTAGTTAAGCTTTGGATTATCTGTGCTGTGGACTCTTCAGTACATTTGTAAAATGCCAAGTCTTTGGGTCATAACAAGCTGACTTGTGCAGTGCAGATACAGTTGTGTATTCCTAGAGTGTCTGGGCCTGGTGTGTGGCTCTCTGCACACACACACATGGGATTGATGAGTCCTGGGAGACTTGAGTAGGCTCTATGCAGATACTCAAGTCACCAAGAATGAACTGGGTTAAAGTTTGGCTAATGCCCAGAAGGGACTCCTAAGGGAGTCAAAGCATTGTGAGTTGGTGCTCTAGAAAAGCTCCATGAGTCTGAATGGTACTGTCCATTCTTCTAACTAGTCTTGGGTAACAGGGACTTGATTGTGTGTTAATGAACCGTCACAATAGTTTTTAAAATCACAGCAGCTAAAGTTAGTGATCTAAGTTTGTTTTGATTTGAATTGTTAGGTAAGATGCAGGTTGCTGTGCGGTATCTTTGTCTATGTAACCGTATACCTTAGAGCTCTTGTCTGTGTTAGCAACTGTTGAACAATGGCCATCTTTGTGTTAGGTTAGATGACCTTTATAACAGGTATGTGATTTATAGCCATGAAAAGAGCAAAAGTATTCTGGCTCTAAGAGATCTATGATTCGAGACCCCCAAAGTTTCTGATTGAGTTGCACGAAAAGAAAAGTTAATTGTTTTTTACCCAAGATTTCTATCAAGTTGCACTTGGATGGAAATTGGAATTTAAGGAGGCAGAGGTATTATTTTGTTGACCAAAACTGCTCTTAGCAATCTTTGTTAGAATATTTTTTAATGTACAACAAATTAATAAACAAAAATAGCATCCATCCTAATCTATTCACTTTTTTTTTTCCAGACATCAAATCTTTCAAAGCTGTTAAAACACCTAGAGGAGTTGATAGGAAGCTATAAGCATTTCTTCCCTCTCCCTCTATAGGCTAAATGAGCTTTGTTGGTGCTGACGTACTTGTAAATCCAGTTAGGTCACTCTCAGAAGGCACAGATAAGAGTCCAGGGACTGGAACTGACCATGTAATACGTGGTTGAGCAGATATCCGGGTGTGACTTCTTGGAGGACTTGTAAGCTTACGAGAAGCAAAACACACTTGATGAGAGTACAGTTTGGCATGGCCAAGCTGAACTTGGGGTGTTCTGGGCAGTTTCTCAGAGTGCCTGTCCTCCCAGCTGCTCTCTTTGCCATCCAGTGTTCTTGTCCTTTAGATTCTTAGTAGGTCACATGCTCTTGTTTTATTTTCAGGAATAAAGCACTTTTTATTTTTTTATTTCCAACTAATATTGAATTATCAACTTCTAATGAGTTCACAAAAATGGAAATAATTCTTTATTGCTTCTTGTCAGTTCTGATAACTTCTGAAATAGAAGTTGGTAAACAGACCTTTAACAATATTCCCACCCAAATGTCCCAAAACCTGAAGGTTTTTATA